GATCTGAAATCATGGGTGCAGTTGGAGAAAACACTAAAGTGAAACCATAAAATGAACAGACAGAATAATCCTGAGAACTATTAATCACTCCTGACCATCAGTTTAGAGTAACTTTAGAGAAATCAGAACTGACAGGAAGAAAATCATTTCCCTGTGCCTCTGTTCTAGGTACAGATAGTCCTCAGGTATGTCCGCTAAAAGGCTGGTGTGTCCAGTGGTTAGGGGCCCATCCACCCAATGCCAACCCACGCTGGATTTGGTTATTATGTCTGGGCTGGTCCTATCAGTGTCCAACACTGTCAGCTTGGCCAAGAGACCAGGCTGGTGTGTTGGGAGCCTGGGAGATCTGGGTCCATCAACCAAAATGCTGGCCATGCTGAATTTGGTTGTGGCATCCAGGCTGGGTCCATGGTTAGTCTGCAGAATCCTAGGAAATCAAAGTTATAAATTCTTACCTTGATTGGCATCCGACCCTGTGGTCATCTGAAGTGGCCAGCTGAAATCAGCACTTCACTGCTCTGCCAGTGAAGGCAGACAGCAAGGCTAGCAGGCCTGGGGTGTCCTCAATTGAGGACCTTTTCCATGAGCATCTCACTAGACTCTCCAAAAATGTTACAGCAGTTAGCTAGAGACACAGAATGCTGAGAAATAGGAACAAACACAGGTTTTATTTAACGCACAGATGATACCACAACTGTTGCTAGTCAGGAGCATCAACCCTGATAGGAAGACAGTGGTTTATAGGCGTTGATCCAACTTCTAAAAATCACAGGTACTTTCCAGAAAGGCAGAGTAGAGTTTATTTAATCACAAGATGATAGTCATAATCCTAGGTTTCTACATTTGTCACAAACAACATTTATCAGAAATGGAACTGTTTACAAATGGAACCTGGTTAACATATTTGGAGAACAAGAGTGAGTTCATGTAAAGTTTAAGTGACTTCTAAAATGGAGTGATGTCTCTTTGCCACTACAACAACCAAGTGTGTCAACTTGCTGTTCCCAGATTGGTAGTCACTGGGCCTTGACCTGCCCTGTCAGAATGAAGGATTCTGGCAATGCTGGGACGCTGCCCAAAACATAGACCAAATCTGTCTCACTGGACCTGATCCTCAGGCACCACACACAGGGCAGAAAGACCAATCCCTTTCTACAAATGGCTGAAATGTTAATGTGAAACTACTCTGAAAATATACATGATTTCTTAATGTGAAGAAAAACATGCCACATTGCTTCCCTCCAGTCCTCGCAGTAGTGGTAGTTCTGCCTGTGCCCCCTGTGGTGACCTCAGTCTTCCTCAGGCCTGCTTCTCTTCACACCTGTGACAGCAGCACCCAGACCAGGGACCGCGGGAGGCCCTGACCTGCCCCTGGCTGGGCCACCTCAAGAGAACACATTTTGGTGAAGGTGAGGACCAAAACGACCTCATGGCAACCATGGTTATGTGTCAAAATCGCTGCAATTTGTGTTGCCTTTACTCGGGAAGGTAACCCTCAGTATCTAGGGCAGGGCCTGGCAAACTTTCTTTTCTGTCAAAGCCCAGGTGACAAACGCTTTGAGTATGGGAGGCTGTGCGTCTCGGCTATGACTACTCACCTCTGTCAAGAGCACCAACTGCATGCAGACCACTGACTGTGGTTCAGACATTGGAATTTCACACACTTCAGATGAGACAAAGTACTACTCTTCAGAAGTTTTAAAAACTTGAAAGCCATTGTTACCTCACAGGTGATGTGAGATGGGATGGGGCTGGCTTTGGCCTTTGAGATGCAGCCTGGCAACCTGTTCCCTAGACCCTATCCTTTCATTCCTACCAAGTACCTCAGGAACCAGTTAGAAAGTGAGAGAGGCTGCCCAAATGCAGTCAGCACAAAGAGCTGTTCAGTTACAAGAAGACACTACACACCAGAACCCAAGATGCCTGGTAGCTTGGAGTGAGGCAGCGATGCCAGGAGCCTCACAGGCATCACTGGTAGAGATGATAGCTACCATTTCTAATGCCTCCTCTCATCAAATTAGGAGTTAGGATACACTCTGGATGCCCTAAGCAATCAGGAGACTAAAGAAAATACTGCAAAAGTATCGCTACTAAAATGTTTCAGACACAAATAAGTTTTCCCCTTATGATCAAATACTCAGACATCCAGAGTGCCATAAATACCAATTCCACATAACCATTCTTCAGTCTAATGGATCAGTGTCAAGTATCCAAACTACACAGAGAAAATGAATCATACAAGACTTGTGAGTTGGGGTGGATGAGGCAGGAACCCTCTGTTACTTGTATACCTTTTCAAGACACCATTTTTTGTGACAATGGTTCTCAGTCCTGCTCTAACTCTAAGGCCAACTCTAATTCCTACTCTGACTCTGACTCTTACTGTTTTTTTGCACATATTCTCCACTGGAGGAGCACTCTTGAGGCTTATGGTAATGTCCTTCGTCAACTTTCCTAAGGTTGCTGTTTCTCCTTAACTGGAGAGCAGTCCGCAACTTTTTATGCAGTCTTATTTCACTGCACCTCTTCCTGTGACTGTGCTGAGGGCACCCTTTGGGATGGGTGCCTGTGGTCCTATGTGTGGAGCAGGGGACAGTGTGATAGCGGACATGCTTGTGCTCCACACTGGTCTCTGCTGAGATAAACTGAAAGCTCAGGCTCACGTCCACCTTCCAAATGTGTGGAGGGAGCCAGGCTCAGCTTTTCCACTCTTTCTACTGGACCAGAATCCTGAAGGCTCTCAATGAACAACCCTTTGACCTCTTGTGGGGGTTCTCCACAGTTGTGTGTTAAGTTCCCAGCATCACAGAGTTCAGAAAGTGGGTCATCCCCAGTGCCTGCCTGCCTGCCTGCCTTGGTATTACAAAGGTTGTTTATGATAGGCAAAGACTCATCAGGTTTGGCTGAACTGTTTTCTGAGACAACTTCCTTGGAAAAGTTGAGGCTGCTGTCAGGAGACAGCAAAGCCTTCTTAAGCTTGCTTCACAAACTTGCAATCAGGTCCAGTTTCTCATGGAAACCAGCAGTGGCACTGCCAGTTTCAAGCTCTGCAACTAGGTCCCCTAATGGACTTTTCTCTTTTCCAGGTAGACTGCATCACTGCCAAAAAGAGAGACAAGCCAAAAGTTAGCATGACTGCTATATAGATTTTTTCACGGGTTACTAAATATTTTATCACTTTAATTATAACTGATTACAAGCCAATATTAGGCTATCATTTTGGTCATCAAATTTTCTCTTTATTAGATATATTTTGAGGCAGGGTCTCATGTAGTTCAGTGTGGGCTTGAACTTACTGTGATCCTCAAACTTACTGTGAGCCTCAGCCTCCTGAGTGGTGCACCACCACATGAGGCAAAAATGAAATTTAATAAACCTTGTTTTCAGTAATAGTAATGCTGTAGCTCTAGATTTCCCATTTTTAGATAGACTTCTTATTCTTTTTTTTTTTTTT